TGTGCGGCATTTGTTTTGGGCTTTGGCTTAGAATATGCCAAAGCGACAGACAGACAAACAGACAGACAATGAGTCAACGTTACGTATACGCAATGTGGGCCACGCAGTAACTTCTTTTGCTTCTTCTGGTGCGACAGAGAGAGACTGGCAGACTGGGAGACAGCTAGCCGAGCGAGCTGTCAGCTTGTCAAAACTGTTGCCTTATCGACATTTCAATTAGCTACAATTTTCAGCCCTGAGCGGCTGTCAGACAGTTCTCGATACTACTCGATGCCGGGGCGCGCGCACTAACGATATTCGATAGACACGATCCACGACTAAATGTATAGATCGATAGTTGGCCTGTCAAAATCTCTTGGCATCTATCTATTTGGTGTCTTTTAGTTAACGGGTGCGCTTAGCTAGGCTAAATACCAAAGGCAGCATGTGGCATGCCGCAGACTTGCGTTTTCATATGCAGATTGTGTGGCACAGCCAAATGCCAGTGCGCTCCTCCAGACGACTAGAGAGACGTGCACATATGAGTCTCAGGTTTCACCAGCTGCAAGTGGCAGTTGCAAGCGGCAACTAGCCGCAGTTGTTGCATTTTGAGCTACTGCTCGCAGGCGCTATTCAAAAGTCTATCGGCTGTCCAATTAAAACGTTTTTAGCCTTTAATTAGTTTGATAAAACGTTCAATATGTGACATTATTGAATTGAGAACCTGAGAGAGGGGCTGGGTTACCTGAAATACTAGAAATATCGGTCAGGGAAAAAAACACATTTGATATATAAGAACAAACTTTTTAGACTAACCTTCTCAATTACCGCTTGATATAAATGAAAGTAAATTCTTTCAAATCAAGAATTCTCAGTTAAAATATATTAAATAAAATAGTAGGTAAATACTTTCAACACATAAACAAAGGCAAGAATAAGTCAGGGGCAAGAAATTGCAAGAAATCGTAAATTAAATTCAGAATGAACTACGAAGTCAGGGCAAAAAAGTTTAAAATATATTAAATTAAATTTACGTGATTTCTAGTCAGAATTAAAAATTCTTAAATACATTTAGGCAAATACTTTTTATACCTAAAACAAATCAAGATTGAATTTCTCAGTCAGGGGCAAAAAGATATCACATAAATTCAAGTGAATTCTTTTTAAGTCAAGAATAAGCTCCCAGTGCAAAATATTTGCAAATAAATTTGGTTAATACTTGTGGCAAATAAATTAAATGTAGAATAAATGTCTATAACTTGTTTAATATCATAATTTGGCCAACAAATTGTTTAACAGCTTCCAGGTCCAATATTTTGTCCGACAATCTCCTGCAACCTCTCTCTCTCTCTCTCTCTCTCCCAGTCTCTCGGTTACTTTGTCACATTTTGGGTTTGTTTATCGCTCATTTAGCTAAATTAGTTAGGCACTGCATATTTAGCTTTGGCCCGGGCTACTTTCGCGCTGTCTGATGATTTATTTTAATGAGCCACTCGAGTGAGTTTAATTATAAGCAAAGTGAATAATTTTGCGAGTGTTTAGCCGCCGCCTGAATGTTGTTTGTTATTCGGTGTTCGTTTGTTTGTTTGTCAAGTAACGTGTTAAATGCATTTAATTTCGCCAGCGCCAGCGCCAGTGACATATAAATTAGCAGCTTGTCTCAACCTTGAGCATTTAAATTCTATGCAATTAAATGAATTACACACAAAAACAAACAGAACTCTCCAGAGCGCGCGCGGGCCGAGACAGGAGAAGCCGCAGGCAAACATTCGTCGATCAGTTGGTGCAATTAATAAACTAAATTTAAAATTACATCGAGCTTAAACATAAATTATAAGGCTAACATATGTCTGGAATCCATTTGGCTCCACCCCCCTGCCCTCTCGATTGGCTGCCAATTGCAATCACGACTGGAAAAGTCGCGCGTTATGAAAACTGTTTTTTTTTTGTTGTGCTGTGTTGTGTTGTGTTAAAATCATAGCTCTCGGTGGACAAATGCGGCATGATGGCTCCAGGGGACAGCACAGCAATTACTATGCAACGAACAGCAACAAATGCAGCAGGAGTGGGAGGGGGAAAGAGTGGGTCACAGTGGACAGCACACACACAGAGAGAAAATGTGCATGTGCCAAAGGCATGCAATTGGCCAGACAGAGACAGATGCGTGTGGGCCACACGCTGACCCCACGGAACTCTGCCGTGATATATGTGACAGCTTTGACACCGGCTAACAAATAACCACAGCAGCAGCCCCAAACCCCCAAAGAAACATCGTGTAAGACAAGATATTGGCTTCAAATACGAACAGGTTTCGCTTTTTTCCATCTCCAAAGAGCTCTCTTTTCCAACACACAAACACAAACAAAGTATCAATATGTGCATGTTAAGTTGCCTAAAGATTATGTTAATGTCCGGTTTCATTGAGGAAAAAGCCAAGTTGAGGGCATTTCATTCAACCGGAGCGATATTGACGCAAGCAGTTAACAGTTGGCGGCCTCTAGAATACACTGAATGTAAAACAAAAACAAAAAGAAACAACAAAACTTAAATGTATTGAATGCCCATAGATACCGATTAGAAACACAATAAATCAGCGGTATATCGAAAGAGAGAAAGAGAGAGAATCGTCTGAATCGAGTGAATATATAAGGCATAATTTGCCTAAATTAGAAAATCGGTAACAAAAATCAATGATGCTGAAAATTTTCATAATAATAGCGTTAATAGACATCATAACAACGATACAACCAAATGACCAAACAATGGAACCATTGTGCGCGCACAGCCATGCCTCAAAGATCCAACTAATGGAAAACAAATTGTTAAATGAAATTGATACAGCTGCTAGTTGTGGGTTGTTCAGGCCTGGAATAAGTGTACACTCACTGCTAAAGTCCACTAAAAATGATAAAACTGAATGAGCTGATGACCAGCAAGGGGCGAATACTTCGAACAGCGACTGTGTGGCTTATAATAATAGAAATTAAAAGTTATTTATATACACAATACATAAATTCGTTGACTTTATTGATGTTAACCGCATCTTTAAAGATTGTATTGAATAAAGAATTGGGTATAAATTTGTGAGCAATAATAGTTTGATAGAAAACCAGAATATGTTGGGATATAAAGTATGTGCTCGAATATATTGGGAAACTAAGCTAAGTACACGTAAATTATTAAAAGTCTATAAAGACTTTCAAACTGTTTGATATTTGCAGATATTATATGTATACCATGTGATATATCAGTTCGTGAGTTAGCTAAGAACATATATATTATTTAGCTGTTCCCACAAAACTTTTTCTATCTTCAGATAAAATGTTATTATTTTTATGAGTTATACATAACTTAATTTTATTATTCTTTACATAGTTTTGTTTTTATGGATCAACATTATTCAACTTTTTTCCAAAACGTAAGAGTTAAGTCAACATATATATGTTCTCTACTTTGAATTTCCCATACACACACACGCACACACACACACACATATGTACACAGACGCACACGCTGTCACAGCTACCAAAATGGCGCATCCCAATTGAAATGTTCCAACTGTGTTGCCTATTCTCATAACTGTAGTTCAGCTAAGCGCAATTGTCTTCCTATGTACAGTGCCCACTCACACGCGCACTCGTAGATATATAAGCGTGTATGTGTGTGTGTGAGCGTGTGTATGATTGTATCTATTTCTCTCTGTTTGTCGCCGCGACATGCGCACTTCACGCAGCGCTGGCCGCTGAGCGCAGTTAAGCACCATTTAACAGCCGCCGTCGCAGCGACGCCATATTGAGCTGCGACATAAAGCGACCCCCCTGCTTCGCCAGCCGCGCTTCAGGTCTACCCCTCCCCGCATACTGCCGTCGTTGCGGCTGTCGCCCAACCAGCGGGCAGCAGAAAGCTTTTTGCAAGCGCAGCAAATCAAAACACATTTCATAGTTAGAAAACAGCAACACACACACGCACATACATATACATACGTATATACATATATACATGTATGCACATGTGTGTAGCAAAAAAAGACAAAAGTATCAGTTTTTGTTGTTGTTTTGTTTGTTTTCTGCCTCATCAGCCCCTCGATAACAACAAAAACAAAAGCATTGCGATAAAAGCTGCTCACTGCTGCTGCTGCTGCCGTTACTCTCCCTCTCTTTGCTCTTACTCTTGTTGTGCATACATATGTATGTATATTTATTTGTTGTTGCTTTTTGCTACTCTTACATAGTTGAAGCGCTTGCTGTGACTCGCGCTGAACGCCAGAGCGCCCGCCCGCCCGCTCTCCCCACATTCGTCCACAAATCGCCCTCATTTGCCAAGACGCCATTTGCCAAAGCATTTGTTATTGTTGGGAGCTACTCTCTGTCTCTGCCTCTGCCTCTGTCTCTGCCGCTGCCGCTGCCTCTGTCTCTGCCGTTCTGCTCATGTGCGCATGACGAATGACCGCAATTTGCGACAGTTTTTTTTCTATTTCTTCTTTTTGTTGTTGCTGCTTTTAACTATTTTTTGTAGTTTACATATCTTTGACTGATGTTATTGAGTATTTATTGTTGACTGCCTACATATACAATATAGAGTCGAATGTACATATTGATGTTTTGTCATTATTGGCTGGATATAAATGTTTCCATTTTCCATTGGGCTTAGTTTGATATTCTAATGATTTTATTTTTCCCATGTCCATTTTGAGTTTAAATGAAGTGGAAATAAATTTTAAGTCTAACATGTTTATGGCAGGGGCAATTGTTGACTTTATAAATGCGAATAGATTTGTTAAACGAGGCTAAGTTGTTTTCCAGGATCTACAAAGTATTTAAAAAGTGTTTATAACTTAATTCAAATTGTATTTAGAATCTATGTTCTATACGTGCAGTAAATTACAATTAAAATAAGTTGGTTGGGCAAAATATTTCAACAATAATCTAAATATTTAAATTTTCTTTAAATGAACAGCATAAAAGTAAATTCTAATTTTGACTGACAAATAATTACAACAATCAAACTTTCTTTTTTTTCAGGAAGCAACCTAATTGAGAGTCTATCGGAAACCCCATTTTGGTGAGTAAACGATTTACGTTCCCTTTATTATATTATTTACTTTTTATTTGGGATTCCGAACATTTGCATAAAAACCTTCGCACAGCTATTGCATTGCACTAGCAGGACGATATTGAATATCCTCTGCAGCGCAAAGACAAACAGAAGGAAGCATATTAAAACATAATTTAATGGTAAAGCCTATGGAAAATTTTTCTCACAATTTCACGCTGAGCAATCATAACGCAACGACACACAGATACACACACACTCATTTTTTAGGGTGTCCACTGAAGCTATTAAATGCCAATTCCCAATTTCTACGTGCGGGGGTGACAAAGCGCGGCAGCGCGAGGGGCGCGTATTTACAGGAAATGTGAGCAGCCCAGGGAAATGAGGGCATACTGGAAGCTAGGCATAAAACCAATTTCCGATCAAGCGAAAGGGCAGCGATGCAGTGAGGCTGAACGGGCAAAGGGAGGGCAGAAGTTAGTAGTAAAGGGCTACGCATGCGCAACACGTTGCAGTTGCAAGCTTGCAAATGCAGCGTTGATCAATAAAATTTGAAGTGAAAACTGTTGAATAATGCGGCAACAAACGGCGGTCACCCTGCTCGGGGGGTTAGGGGGGACTGAGCAGAGGCACAGGATTTGCGGGCAATTAATTTGTGTGTAGTACAAGCAACAGGAAACAAAATACCAAGCCACGCATGCAGCCCAGCAGCCCAATAGGGGCAGAGGGGCGCTCTTAAAGTTCAACGGCCAACACATTGAGCCCAAGTCAAGTCAGCCGAACCGACGCTCAGCCGGCCGCAAGTCATTCACGCTCTCTCGGCGCTGGCAGCATTCTTATTGACAGGGCCTATTAGTGGGTCAATTGGCAAAAAGATTTCGGCGCTTATTTTTGGGCCAAGTGCGCGCCGCTGCGTTGCCCCGTCAGGTTTACTTTTCATTTTTATTTTATTTACCTTTTATTTCTTTATATTTTTGTTTGCATACTCTTTTATTTGATTTACATTTTTTTTTTTTTGCATACTCTGGCAATTAGCGTAAATGATCGATCAAATATAGCTGCGTCCATGGCAGCAACAACAAATGAGCCTCATTAATTGGTGATAAAAGTTAAATAAGCAAATAATAAAATCTCAGGTAATTTTAGGCCCACATGGCCAGGCCAGGCCAGCATGTGTGTGTGTCGCTGTGTGTGTGTGTTCATGTATGTCAACGCATATTGGCAGACTTCTTGACGTTAGCTAAGCTTAACTTGCAAAGCCTTGTAAAATGCAACGCCTTGTGGCAAATGAATTTAAAAGAATTATTCAAGAAGCAAGTGCTACAGTGATGACTCGCAAATAAGAACTCTTTCGCACCAGGGCTGTTATTAAATTCTCAAAATATTTCAAGTTCCGCAAACCTTTCTTTTATACAAAAAACGAACTCTAATTTCTGACAGCTTGCTTTTGCCAGCGACTCGAACTGGCAAACTGGACTGCCAATAAGTAGCTCATAAATAAATGTATAATTTTGAAATACTTTCTCAAATCAAACAACTCTATAAAATTGAAAAATGTGCACTTAATATGCAATTAAATTCAATAGCAACATTAAAACATCGTGATTTTCAACAAGTATTCCAATATCAAACTGGAATAAAAGCTTGCGCAATGTGAAAATAAACCTAATTGGTTGGCTATTGGCTTAATTTATAAATTAATTTTGCAACTTGAGTTTTGGCAGTTCGCTTATTTGTTTAAACTTTTGAGTGGCTTTTACGAGCTGCTGCTGATGGCTTTATCAGCGGCCCGTGATCAGCGCTAAATGTCGGCCGTTTCATGTTTCTCTTTTCCATTTCTCACCTTTAAAATTTGATTGCTTATTATTTAAGTTTTTTTACTGTTAGAAATTGTTGACAGCATCTGAAATTTACAGCGCCCACATTTGACATGGCGGTATCGCACATAAGCTGGTCAACTATTTGAAGATTTTATGCCGATTTGATTTCATAATCAAATAATTGATCTTAATGCGCCTTCAAATGAGCGCCGAGCCGCAAACATAATTTTTGCTAGTTGTTTCTTTTTTTTTCTAAATTTATTATTTCTTTTTTTTTGAAAACTGAAAACGTGTCTGTCAGCTGCTCGCAGCTTTAGATCCAATCAAATCTGAAACGAATTGCGCTTCAATGCTGAAAAATTAATCAAAACCAAAAAAACACTAAAAAAAAAAACAAAGAAAATAACGCATATTGAGAATGAGCTTTGAATAGATTTTATTTGTTGTTGTCTTGTTTTGGCACCTCGCAGGAAATTTCAGTCTGCACAAACTCGTTTCCGCAATCATTTGACGAATTTCGAACGCACACAATCCATCAAAAATTAGGGTATCCATGAGTTTTAGGGACTGTGCGCCAAAGAAATGCGGATTAGATGGGCTCAGGTATTGGCACAGCAATTCTAGCTCAGCTCACACGTGCCATTGGGGCACAGTGCCTTGATAGCTCAAGAGTGTAGGCATTTTTTTTGCAATCAATCAAAAATGGACATTATTTCGATAACATTTGGAAAGCTTAATAAATAAAAGGATAAGTCTGAAAGCATTCATAGAAACTTGTTGATTTGGGTTCGGTTCGAAAGAGCTTCAAGTTGTGGAAGTCGAAATTCGAGAAGTCTTTGGACGGGATACAACTTATATATTCTAATATATTATCATGAATAAAGATAAAGTTCTATACAGAATACAGAATTGCTTAAAATTAATAAAGTTCTCGTGTGTTTAGGGGGCTTCCTCTGATATATTATTTGCTGCTATTTATTTTCTGTTGATCACAAGCAAACTTTAAAATAATCATGTTAGAAAAGTAGCTTTACAGCCAACTTGCAACCACTGTGCCGCTTTGCACATCCGTCGCCTTATGGCAAATTCTTGAAAACCCGCCGCAGAATGTGGACTCAGCCTCTTCATCCTTCGCTTGGCTCTTGAGTCACGCAGTGAGTTGAGAGTGATTGATTCTTGTTGCCATTTTTCGCTTGGACAAATGGCAGAAGAGAAAGAAACCCAAATGGAATAGCCAACGTGACCTCCAGCCCGTCTATGCGGCATATCAATCAAATGTGGCCATTTGCCAATTGCAGTTTTCGTTTTCATTGGCATGAATTGGCGAAAAACAAAATGTGGAGACCCCCATAAATTGGCATTATGATCGGTAATACTTGTAGTCGCTGGAAATCGTCTATAGATTTGCATAGAATCGAAGCGATGCCAATCGGAGAGCTCCCACTGTGCGCAGCGGCTTTTTAATGAGATTTTGTTGTTATTGTTGTTGTTAGGCATAAGTAGTTGCTGTTATAGTTTTTGGCCCAGTTTACTAATTATTATTATTTAACATTGATCGCTTGGGCCGTTTGTAATTGGCATTTGGATTTGGCCGCGATTTGACCCACTCTTGAACTCGTTTCGCAACATTAACGAAATGGAAAGTGTCTGCCAAAAGGCATCCCAAATAGAAAAAAAACTCAAATGGAAAACGAATACGAATACCCTTGCCAATAATGTTTGACATGTCGGAACTTGGTTATCTTATCTGGGCCTGGCCTTTGTATTGCTCTTATTCTTTCTTTATTTTATTTTTGCTACAATTTTATGGCCTAAATGATGTATCTATGTATCTTTGGGTATTGTGTATCTGCAAGATATCAAAATGCAATTCTTGTTAGACGCTTTGAAGGCGGCCGCCTTTGTATTTTGATTTCTTCGAATGCAAATATGTTTTATTGATACGAGACATTTTATATACTCGATTCTGAATGTTATTTTTATTTTGGAGAATTGACAAATTGGCTTTGGCTGCGGCTTCGAATCTTAAAATGTGTTTTGTTGCATTTTATGTACAATTTGCATAACCGTTGACAGCCACGCCCCAGCAACGTTTGCTACACCATCTAATGCCCGGCAACATGACGTATGAGTAATCTGATTTTTATCTATATTTAATTATTTGCGCATATGTGATTGAAGCACAATGGCCAGGGCCATTAATCAGTGCACCAGAGACCGGACACCAGAGACCAGAGAGCCGAGACCGGAGACCGTACACCGGAGACGGAGACTGTAGACCCCAAGCCAGGTGCCCATATGCTCGATTAGCTCAATTATTCATGCAGTTAGAGCAAGCTGGCCATAGCTGGCCATATCTGGCCTATTAGCTGGCTAAATTCCTTGTAAGAAACCATAAACTAATTTTTGTGTTAAATGCCATAAAATATGAAAGTTTTCGTCATAATCGATGCGCGTGTCTGTGTGAGGCGTGGGAAATACCCTTTTGTTAAATCAGTGAAAACGGAAGAAGAGGCCTCCCCCCACTACTTTAAGGCCCCCTCTCCATGCCCTTAGCTCCCCACAAGCTCGTCTTTGCTATCAGCCATGAAGAGCCGTCGACATCGCTTTGTACTTTTGCGGCCGTGTGTAAATATTTGACAACACATGCCTAATTAGTGCAGCTATTGATGGTGACAGCGGAACAGCACCAACAACACGAACAACAACATGAACAACACTTGTCGAACATCGGGGAAAGGGGAAACGGGACTGGAAGTGGATATGGAATGGAACGGAAAGACTGAGTGCGAGCTCTTTTACGATGTCGTTTCCTGAGAATCGCCTCAGTCACAGATTGACAGACTGACTGACTGACTGATTGACTGACTAAGTAGTTGGGTTTCTTATCTCTAGCACTAGGTGAGGGTCTTGAAAGGGTTCTGGTTTCTCTGTGGCTGTTGTTGGTTTTGTTGAGTAAGGCAATATTCGAAGCGATTGTCTGCGAAATGCTTATCAATGGGTAACACCAGTTGACTTGTAGGCAAACTATTCGACATTGGTTTGACAGGTGTTCAATCAATCAATCAGGGAAAGTGAAAAGAACTGCATGAATGAATATACAAATAATAGATAAGCCAGCGTATTTCGAAATCAAGCTATAATTTAAAGGAAATCTGGACATTAAAAGTTAATGAGTTGATAAATAATAAAGATTAAAAATATATGGATTAATCTATCTTTAAAAATAAAGATAGAGTTAAATGAATGCATAGATAGACAGATATATGCAAAAAAAATATATAGGCTGATAGATAGATGGATATATAGATGAGTTGATGCATATTTAATTATATAGATAATACATATAGAAAGAACAGATGGATAGATAGAAAGATACATGGAAAGATACTTATGTAGATATGACTGACAGATAGATAGCAGATAGAATTATGGATACATAGATAGATAAATAGACAGACATCTACAAATACAAAGGTACATAGATAGATAAATACTTGTGGGCAGATGGATACAAAGGAAAGATGAACACATATATAGATATATAAACTTGTAAAGATACATAGAAAGAAAAGATGTATATACAGATATATATAGATAAATATAAAGATAGATATAAAAATATATGTATATTTATATAGAATGAAAGAAGAAAGATCAATGGATAGATATATACATAGGTAGAAAGAAATGTGAATGAATAGATTGATTGAATGATAGATGGATAAAGAGATGGATAAATTTAGATACATCGATAGATAGATAGGTAGATAGGTAGATATCGAATGTTCATGATACAAACTGTATTTTTTCTATAAGCTATAGCAAATTTACCCCTCAAATGCGATTTTACAAGACTTTTATCTTCGCATATCAAGTTGTAATTCTATTTACTGTTATTGACAATTGCGTGCGTGTTGAATGATTAGATCATGAGATCATAAAACAGATGCGTTGATCTTCAAAGCGATTGTTTAATATTTGTTTAAGTTGGCCAATTGATGACTCGGTTCGGTTCAAGTCACACTAGAGGCTACCAGAGAGAGGCTACAGCATGCTGATTAGTATGCCAATGTTTAATGCCACCCAGCTGGCGCTGATGAAACCGACTCCGGCTACTCATCTATGGGCCAGAGACGACAGCCGGCAACAGAACCAAGGAGCAACAACAACAACAACAACAACAACATCGACGACGACGACGACAACGACAACACTTGGCACATTGGCAAAGTGTTGTGCTCAAATATTGACCCAGAGCTTCGCAAGTAAGCGCGATTCAAACAATGGACAAACAAACGGAGCAGGCGACGGATCAGACGGAGCAGGAACTGGCAACGGCCCGGACGAACCTGCTGACAAACATTGACAAGAGCACGAAAAAAACACGCTACAATTTCCTTGGGGTGTGCGTCAAAAGTGCGACTCTGACTCTGTCGACGCCGAGACCAAGATGAAGACCGACTCCAAGTCTGACCAAGTTCAAAAGAGTTGACCGACCGACTGTTTAAGAAGAGCTCAAAGTGTTGCCACAACATGAGGATGTCTGCCTGTGGCCGAGTGATAACAAGATTTACAAATCGATTGCCGACGGCGCTTTGACAAATATTCGTGTGCGTGCGTGTATAAATACCGAGTGCTCGTAAATGCGCTTTTGATGAGCCCAAAGACACCTGTGAACAGACGCGCACCTGGACGCACCGGGACACCTGAGTCTGTAGAGCGTTCGAGGTGTTAATATGTATTGGTCGCTCTGGTCTCTCCGATTTTGGGCTGTTTATTATCACAAATGTGTCCGCACGATAATCAAGTTTAATTTGCTTAAATATGATTGCCAATTGCCGCGTGTGTGTGTGTTTTATTTATAAATCCCCAACCAAATTAGCCCGGTAAGACGTCAAAGCCGAAACTTGTGGCCAGTGCAAGTTTTGCATTTCTGATAACCGGAAGCATTTAATGCGATTCAATTAAAAAACACAATAAAAAGAGAGAAGTTTAATTAGCACATTTGGCATAATAATTGCTTAACGGCGAATTGCCAATTTTAACGAGCGATCTGTTAACAATATCAATTTTGACTTTTTTTATGAGGAAACTTTTCCGAAATTTAACAATTGATTTCCGCAAAGTTAACCAAGTGACAACTGAAGGTAAATCATTTGATTCGTTTAACTTAACTTTGAATTATTAAATTAATATATATTTTCTTCGTGTAATTCTCACCTGCATCACCCAGTAGTTGTTGTTGACGGCAAACTGATCACCAATTATAATATCCGTATGCATTTAAGCAGAATTTGTTGGCATCAATGCAACACAATGAAAGGCTTTTATATGCTAGATTTGTATATTTTGTTTAATTTCTTTTTATAATTTCGATGGGGTTTGGGGTTTACGCTCTAGGTCACAAGTCACCGACAAGTTCAAGGCACAATAATTAATAACAATATTTAATTTATTTGCATGGCACTGTGAGGGGTGAGGGGGGAGGGCAGCAGCCCGTTGAAATGATTTTTTGTTGTTGTAACTTTTACAATTTATTTCTTGAATATATGCAAATTGATCTTATTCATTTGCAAGGATATGCAAATTGCAAGCACACACACACGCACACGCACGCACACACGCACACACACGGCTTTTGTTTACACAATTGATTTGTGCATTGATTAACAATCATTCGGCTGCTGTTTCAGATTTCCTGATATCTGATTTATGCACATCCTTTGCCCAAGTTGAGCAGCAGCAAAAACGCCGTCGGCTTTTTTCACTTCCGCGTTTTGGTTTCTCTTTTTTTTTTCTCTTATTATTATTATTACTTTTTCTTTTATTTGTTAGCGTCGCATTTTGTCAGAGAATTGTTAACAAATTGTTCGAAATGTATCTTCTTCAAGTTGCACGCGCGACTGCAGTTGGAAAATGTTTCGAAAATATATGAATTGAGAAAAACTGAGCTTGGAAATACGCTGGCCGAGCGCTCGTCGCTTTTGTTGTCTCTTCGCTGGCGGGAACCGAGTTCGTACTGATTGGACGAGCGAAGGTTTCGCGCAGACGAACCTCGCCAGTCAGCTAGCGGGCCAGACGCACACACACACACACACACACATAGAGAGATACACACACATACATACGCGCATATGTATACCTGGCTAACCAGACTCGGCGACTCTCCCCCGCTCTGCCGCTCTGTCTGCTTGCACACCTTTTGCTGTCGCTGTCGCTGTCAGTCGGCCTGAGCCGAGTCGAACTGAGCTGAGCTGAACCCCTGTCCCCGACTCCGACTCCGCTTCAGCTTCAGCTAACTCCCTCCCTCTCCGCCCGCCGGCCAGCCTGCTGCTCAGTGACTTTATGGCTTGCTTGCTTAGCTGACTTAACGCTTGTTGTTTGTTGTTTTTACCACTTTTTCGCTCGCAACCAGGTGTTCTCGCCTCTCGCACCGATCGTGCCACGCTCTTATACACAACTACTTATACAATGCCAGCTATCTGCCGCTCGCTCTCTCCCTCTCTCTCTCCCTCTCCCTCACGCGGTTCAGCTGTGCGTCAAGCTGATCTTATTGGCGTGTATAAGAGAGTCGCTTCCACTGAACGAATTTGCTTGAATTCGCCATTTTAGTTTTGAACGTCATTGCGTCTGCTCGTATTGCACATAAAGCGGAACATTTGACATCCATTTCAATTATGTAACACGAGAAATAAATAGAACAATATTTTATAACATATTAATTTAAATCGGATATCAGAGCATCCAGATTTGATTTGCAAATTAATATTATGTTTTCAATAATAACAAATATTGTTCATTAAAAAGAATATTTTATCGTCAGTCAAGCATATTTTTAATGTTTCCTCATATTCATTTAATACAAGTAAATTAAGTTAGATTTAGATATCCATTGAAATCTATGCAAAGTTGAATAATGAGTACTCTATATAGACATTCACTATAGAAAATGGGATCTTTTTTGCTATCATAGCTACAATTCCATATATGAAACCCTTTGCTTTACCCTCTCATCGGCTTGCTTTTAATGTGCTGCTTTTTAATGGAGCACACGCAACTGTGACATAAAACATAATTTAATAAAATAAAATCATAAATTTACTAGCTAATTTGCTACAGCATATACTTGCTTTTTAGTCCCGAACAAAATCGATAAACCAACCATTAAACATCTACTCCTATGTACTATATGTCTGTGTATATATGTGTGTATATATTTGTGTATATATTTGTATAGCAATAAGCGATTCCCTGAAACCGCAGCAACAACGGGCATAAAATTGTCCCAGCGCACGCCACAAACATAAAAGCCATTTTCATTTTGACCAGAACGGAACCGAATGGCAGCAGCACCATCCAACCCCAAGCCTGCCTCCCCCCAGTCCGACAACCCCTAGAATCCATTATGAAAGCTGTCCGCAGCTTTATGCTGGCTTTCCAGCTGGCCAGAGGGTGCTCATTGCGAGCTTGGATTCGGATTCGAGTTGGGGCCGGGGGCGACACGCGACGCTTGTCTAAACATGGGGGCCACAAGACGGCAGTCAATAGAGGTGTGGCCTCAATGGCAGCGGCGCAGTCGCCGCGGCCAGCCAATCAGCTAGCCGAACCGCCAGAGTGAGAGCGAGAGAGCGAGCTAGAGAGAAGTAGCGAGCGTTGCGGTTAGTTTTGCGTGTGCAGCAAAAAGAAACACAACAAAATGAAAATTGAAGTCAAGCGAAAACATGACGCGCAGGTGAAGTGGCAGACGGCAGCAGACTAGTTGAGATACAAATGTATCCCCAACCAGACATAGCTCTAGCTCTGCATTAGTTACTAACTCACACACACACACACACACACACTCACACACACGCACACACATGTGTGTAGCTGCCTGTCTGTCTATTGATAATTGACTGCCGTTGCGGGCACTTCACTCACTCATTGTCTATCTCTCTGTCTGTCTGCCTCTCTGTCTGTCATTCTGTCCTTCTGTATACTTTTTCGTATTTACCTCGTGCAAATTTGCCATTAATGCCACAACAGACACACACACGACACACACTCGCACACACATACGTACACCTGAGTTACAAATGTATCTGCTTTTGACAATGTCAGTTGCGTGTAGTTTTCTTTGTTGTACTCCACGTCAGTTGCTTTGTTTGCCACAGCGCGCTGCCTGTCTTACGTATCTTTTAGATACATATCTAACATCTATCTATTTATCACTGGACTAGCACATCTTTGAATCTTTGAAGTCCACGCAACTTTGTTAAAATGTTTTCCTTTTCGATATATGATCTTTAGAATAAATAAAATATACAGAAAAACAATGTGAACTAAATAAGCTTGTAAATTTTGTTTGCAAATGTTAGAATTTCAATTGTTTGCTTTTTTTATGGAATTGTATATAAAAATTAGTGTCAAATATATTTTTTTTAAGTTGAATGTAGTTTTGTGGTCTAAAAAGACACAAATGTTGGCATACACAGTTCTCAAAGCCCTTCGTACCTGCTCCTTGAACACCTCAAACTTCGATTACTGTCAAAATTGAATGGATGTTTATATTTGTTCAAGTTTTACCTCCTTACGTTATTTATTAGGTAATACGCCCAAAGTTGCTGTATTTTGTTCTTAACTATAGTCTTTTGACTTATTTACTATTGGTCTTATGTTTATATTTAGTTTTAGATAGATATACATTTTATTTAAACTTTGCATGTCGACATTTTGCTTGTAATCTATTGGCTCAATACTTTCTTTCTTAACAATACTTCTAAAAGCGACACCAAATTCTCAAACTTAACCGATTTTATTTTATATACGTTTTGCAGATTATGGACGTGTGATTCTTTCAATATTTGTTGTAACAAAATCCTTTAATCATCTATATGGGAACTCATTTTGTTGAAACTTTGTGTCAAAATTGTATTTATCATTTGTTGAAGACGTCACAATGCAAAGGCTGCCTTAAGCCCTCTTCTGTGCTGGTATTTTCTGTACATGTTCATCGACAATTAAATCATGCTTTAAATTAATTCGCCATCTAATCTAAAATGTGGTGCTAGACATAAACTTCCTTTACTTTATCAAAACTGAACCAATTTTTTTGGCAGCAGAAACTTTATATTTTGGTACAAAAATCTCCGAAGTCAGAACCTTGCTTCATTAATTATTTTAATTGTTGTTCTTTTGTTTCTGTTTTTTGGTTTTTTTGTTGTTTTCCGATCTGAAATGTATCAATATTAGCGCTTTTATGTCAGAATTTTTCAAAGTCACAATAAATATACAAATTCCTTGTAATCCACGCCCGCAATCCGCTGACCCATGTCGTTCAGTGATTTTCTCAATGCGATATCTGTGGGATTTATGGATGCTACCCCTTCCTTCGTGCCTCTCGCCCCCGCCTCAGCCCCACACACGACGGTGTCATCTCAACCCCTTAGGGGACAAAGTACCTGTTGTTTATTGGTATTTATTCTGGGCATTGCAGCTCGCAGCCAGAGTGTGACCTTATCGTACAAGTCGCATGATTAATTACATGTGTCGACTGTCCCAAAGGCTCCCGTTGCCCCTGCCTCTGCCTCTGCCCCTGCTCCTACCCTCGCTTCAACTGAATCTGTGGCCAAAATATTGTCACGCTTTGAGGCGGGCAACAAACGCTGCCGAAACTCTCCGAGGAATACTGAATTTCTTCGCTTGATTGATTCCACTTGGCGGCACTTGTTGATAAAAACTAAAGGACAATGTTTCGTATTCAAAAATTGGTTTCGATTTATTTGGTCGCCCCGGAGGCACTCGAAGATTACGCGGCAATTTGTTTTGTGGCCCGATATTTCCCGGGAATCGCTTGTTTACTCGCATCTTCTGTGGAAAGCACTCGGATCGCAGCCCAATCGAAACATTTGTTTGCATAACGCATTTTAATTGAATTCTCAGCGGATTCGATCAGTTCTGGCTAAAGGCAGATGTCTAACAGATATCTAGAGATATTTGGCCATAGATAGCGGCAATTAACATTAACCCAAATTGCGGCAGAGAGCTTCAAGCTGAGAGCCAAATGCGCATTCTATGCAAATGCCAGTCAAGATGCAACTGCAACAAGTCAACATCAACATGAACAATCACAATTTATGCGAATGCTAATCAAGTTAACACCAAATGCAAAGGCAACACGGCGCGATGTCTCTGTCGCTCGTCTGACAATTTTTAAGTGCGTATCTGTGTCGCGGCTGCAGCAACAACAGCAACAACATGGCCAGCAACAATTATTAATGATTTTGCTAAATGTTACAGAAAATAATGACAGCAGCAGCCAAGCAGCTGAGCTGTTGAGCTGCT